ATGTCCGAAGGAGAGACGGAAAAGACGAAAGCTATCTGTCAACATGGACTTCGGAGAATCGTTTTTACGCACTACAGTTCCACAAAACTTTACACACGCATCTTCCTGTGGGCCGAGTCGTATTAGATTATCGTGCTGCCTTGTGGAGCATTTGTATGGTAGGCGGATTTGTCTGAGGCTAACAGTTTTGTGTTTGAACTGTTCGTTGGCCAACCACTGATACCATTGGTTCTAACGCCCAATATTCTCTTTGGCCGAACTTGAGAGATGGCAAATGATGACTTGCCCGATAGCAAGGTATTTAGAATACAATGAATGTAGGGGAGAGCGAGACCGAGGCCCAAGTTGCAACAAAATGGTTGAAAGAATTGTACTGTAAATCAAGAAGTGATCTAGTGTTGAACAGCATTACTGCCGTAAGCTGATGACTAACGTTACTGGACGGTGGGCGGTGAAGCCCTCGAAAGAAAGTGGTCATTTTCGGCGTCAATTTCACAGGTCCTCATATTTTAGTAAACAACGAGTAGGACGAATAATAGGCAAGGCCGATTAGTGCATCATTTATATCGCAAACTTGAAGCCACCTTTGCGAGCCCTGCAGGATGCCTAGATAGAGTTGATTATATATGATTATGTATCTTTCTTTAAATGGATATCTAGCTGGCAGCGAGTTACATCGTCTTTATTCCGTATATCTTATGGACGACGTATTATTCTCAAGAGCCTTCAGTTTCCTCAATAATGGTAGAGAATTTGCTGAGGACTTGCTTCAACGCAGGTCTTCGAATAGGTTTACTGCTTTCGTTAGTGATAGATCGAGATATTTATTGTTGGCACCAACTAACCTGATAAACATATCCATTCCGCAATCCATGCAGTCCTTGATGTTGCTTTCTTCTGCAAAGGCACTTAACGCGACAATGGGCGCAGAGTAACCCATCTGTCGTATAAGTCGGGTGCTCTCGAGACCATCGAGGATCGGCATCTGCATGTATTAGCATTTTCATGACTGTGCGAAAACAAGATAAAATTTCTTACTTGGATGTCCATGAAGATTAGGTCAAACACATCTCCCTTCTCCATGTTTGATTTGACAGTGTCATATGCCTCCTGGCCGTCTTTGACAATTGTCACGTCATAGACCTCCTCCAGAGCAAGCATCCTGGTATTCAAGTCAGCATTTGAAATATCTAACGGAAAGGTTTATCAGCACGCACCGTCTGACTACCTCCTGGTTGACAGTGTTATCTTCGGCAACCAACACACGGATTCGTTTTGTGTCGGATGAACTTTTATTGGATGGCAAATTGCTGGGGATTCGTTTGGTGTCGGACGAGCTTTTATTGGATGGCAAATTGCTGGGTGCTGATGCAGGAGATGATGGAACAGTCGGTGTGAAGAATGGTTGACTCAATCCAACCAAACGTGGTTGAATTTCCGACTTCTCGAATCCAGGCGCAGGGGGTTCATTCCTCACTGATCCATGATTTGAGGGTGTTCGCGCGGCGAGGGAGAAGTCTTCCAGGGACAGGACACTTGGAGTCCGCGATCCTGGGATGCTTGAAGCATGTGTGCTTGGGGGCACTTCTTTGACATACCCCAAGGGGATTCTCAAAGTGAAAAGAGACCCTTTGCCTTCTTCGCTATCTAGCAGAATATCGCCTCCCATAATGCGGGATAACTGAGCACAGATGCTGAGACCCAAACCAGTTCCACCATATTTCCGATTCAATCCTAGGTCGCCTTGGACGAAAGGATCAAAGATACGGCGGTGGAGATGAGGAGGAATACCTGGCCCGTTATCTTGAACTTCAAATTGGAAGTTAAGTTGACGAAGACTGGACTGTGACACTCGTTGTCCTTTCGTTTGACCCTCAGTCGTATCAGCAGTGCCTTGGATCGACGAGTTGACACTTGAGCCGGTCTGGGACCGGATTTGTGAGTTGCGTCGAAGCGTCTCTTTCAGGGCCAGGTCATGGGTATCAAGTCTCAAAGGCTCATCCACAAGGCGGATGCGAACCGCTACTTTCCCATTCTCGGGTGTAAATTTGAGACTGTTGCTGACCAAATTGATCAGTACCTGGAGGATTCGATGTTGATCACCCCAAAGGACCATGTCTGCCATTCTGCCAGACTGTGTTGAACCCAAACCTGAATGGGTCCGTTCCAATCCGTTTTCGCGACATATACTGCCTTTTGGCTCGGTCACTCCACTCGAAACGAAGTTGACGCTGAAGTCAATATGCTTCTCATTAACTTGGTTTTGGAAGATGATAGCCAGTTGCGCTCGAACATCAGACAATTTGAACTCCTTTTCCTCGATCTGGATAGCCTGGTCAATTTGATTCTTACTGAATGTGAGCAAATCGTTCAAGAGGTGCAAAAGAAGATCGCCCGATTGATAGACCACCTGAAGCGATTTTTTGATCCGGGATAGGTCCTCCTCGCCCATACACACAGCGCACATGCCGAGGATTCCATTGAGGGGAGTTTTGAGCTCATGAGAGATGTTGGCGATAAACAATGTCTTGCTCTCGTTGGCGGTCTCCGCGGCCAATTTGGCCTTTTCCAGCTCTCTGGTGCGCTCAGCCACTCGCTCTTCTAGCCGGTTGTACTGAATTGTAAGCTCATCCGACATCTCGTTGTAGGTTTTCGTCAGCTCCGTGAGCTCATCCGTGACACAATGTCTTCTTTCTTTGACCCTGGCCGGTATCTGGAAGCCGCGGTGATTTGGTGTATTGCGGATGGTTGTGGAACTGTTGAATCGCCCCAAGGGACGTCGCAGGCGTTTCGCCCACGTGGCAGGGGAGCCTTTCTCGTTCATGTGTTCCACAATTTGCTCAACCGAATCGCCATGTTCATCGCCGGCTTCGAATCCAATCCGTTGGGACTCCGGGGTGTGGCGATGTGGTGTAATCTCGGGCTCGACGGACTTTTGGGCTGCTGCGCGCAATCTTCGGATAGGAGCAACTGCCCAGTGGGTCAGGAGAGGGACCAAGAGAATTATGGCGCCTGCTGTGCCAAAAACGCATGCAAGAATTATCTTTCGTAATCTGGCAACCGGTGCAAATGCTTCCGCGTGGGTCTCTTCTACGAGAAGAACCCATTCGACGAGTGTGCTTTGAGGACGGATTGCGCCCACAGCAACACTCTCCCCTCGCTCGTTTCGGGCTGACAGTTCACTCTTGGCTATTCCCGAGTTCTTGTATGATTGCAGCATGACTTGTAGAGCCATTGGATATGAAGAAAGGACAAACGGCGTATCGGTCGACATGCCACTATGTCGGCTAGCTTGGGTAGGCAAAGGGGTAGGTTCGAAGATGTAGTGAACCTGCGCTTCACTAAGACCAGCAACACGAGCGCCAGATGTGGCTGTTGCAGGCTGCTCACTGGAAGTGAAGATGTTTGATCGTCGTGAAGGTCCAATGAGGAGAACCTGGCCGGTTTTTCCTAGCCCATCGCGCGAGCTAACAACACCCTGTAAATTCGCGGCACTAGCAACAATACTGGGGGGGGGCGATCAGTTTCGATTTCACTATTTCTTTCGCATTCGCAAAAGCTACTCACGTTATAAAGCCCAAGATTTCTGTATTTGAAGTGTTGTTGACAATAGGCAAGGTCAATGACACAAGAGAGAAAGAGTTGTTGACTTTCAATGGACCCAGAAGCATTGCCGAGTCCAATCCAAGTACATAATCGGGAAATGCGTAGGCAGTCGCTGAGTCGTTGGCGCCTGGCCCACCATGGTAAGTCAGATTTGGGTACAGGGAAGGAGGGTAGCCCAGTCCATCATTTCCCAATTGCACAGAAGTCCCGTTCGAGTACGTATATGGAAGGGTGATGTCCGGAACAGTTTCACTGGTCTGGTTTACCAAGCCGTCAATTCCTCCATGGCCGTTTTTTGAATAGATGATGGCCTGGTAAAGGTCCAAGTATCCTCGGCTACCAAGGGCCGATTGAACATCCGCGATGGAATTGGTCCAGTTCTCCACGGATGTGTTTCCCATATAGTAACGTTTTAAGGCTGATTGGATCAGGATTCGCGTGGCGATGGTTTTGCAGGTTGTTTCGAGAAGGTCCAAATTTGAGGCAATCTGACTGGCCTTGGTGGTCGCAACGAGTTCGAGGCCATTCGATCTGCTCAAATGTTAGATTTGGGCTGGCAGATTAGGAAGCAGCACCTACTCGACATCCACAACAAAGTTATAGGTGGTAAACCACTAAAATAGTTAGATGTGATTTTCATTCCTGTTGATTCGAGCTCTCTACCGTTGCGATGGCTAGGACCGCGACCCCCGAGACTGCAGTCAGCAACACCAGCAGCCCAAGCTGCACAGCAATGGGAATCCTCATCCGATCACATAAGATCAAGGATAGATAAGATCGATAAGTTTGTCTGATAGCTATCACGGTCAAAGGACAGATCAAGCGTAGAGAAGTCCAGATACCTGGTGAAAGTCAGCGTCCGTGCCAAGACCCTGTCTTGTCACACCTACATGAGTTCTTCTTGTATTCCCTGTCTTTGTTCTTTTTCAATGAATTTTTTTTCTTTTTTTCAGGTTCCAACGAGAGAAACAGAAGAAACAGAGTGAACGCGCTCAGGTGAGATGGAAATTTGAGTGTCAGACATTAGGGGGGAAACTGTCAAACCGCCAAAAAGTGACCCAAACGGGTAAAACCCGTCCAAAACAAGGCAAAAACAGGTCTAGGGAGGACTAGATGCATCGAGTGGCGGCATACCCAGGATAATTTATAATTGGCACGCGACTTATACTATTTTATCTTGTTTTACAATATGTTATGTTAGTATTTCAAGGTGAAAATTGCCGACCTTCAAATTTCAATATGATTGGACGGATGTTACACCCGGACCTCGACCTCTGATTGGTCATATTTTTCTACTTTGAACTTCCAAAGTTGGCCTTGAACACATCGAAATATCTTGTATAACTATTTGTACAGGTTTGGCCTGAATTTAAAAAAACTCATGGCCTTCAATCTCACAGCACTAGAACAGAGACTAACAATACAAGACCAATAGATCCAAACTGGCTTCTCAAGAAATTGCCTCCGTTATCCTTAGTGCTGCTTGTGGCTTCACCTTGGGTCTCAGTAGCAGTGCTGGATGCATTTTGAGTAGTTGATGTCGAGGTCGATGAATTTTTGGTGGCTAGATTCATGTGCTCAAAAGCAACCAGGTTGGAGGTAAAGAGACTGGTAGCGCTAAGTTGGGCCTCCATATCTGTAGTACCATCCCATTTCGCTTTGTACCACTGTTGACCACAAACAGTCCCATTGTCTCCACCAGAACATTGCTTGGCGGCTCCAACAGCGGAGCCCTGCAATCTTTGTAGGATCTCGGACTTAGTATGAGGGGCCATACGGGTGACAGCCGCAAGGTCAGATGCAAAAAGTCCCTTGAAAACCTCTTGGTATCGGTCGCAAGTTTTCAAGGGCTCACAGGTGACCTCTACCATGATCTTACCACCGTACTTCTCTGGGAAGAACTTGTGGAAGCTTGTGTTGAGAAGACCATCGAGACCTGATTTCCATTTGGAGGTTTCTCCATTTGTCTTTTCTTGATGTTAGCGATCGCCGCGGTCTCCAATCCAGACTTAAATACTAACCAGGTTGTACATATATGCCGCCCCACTGATGTATTCTCCGTAGCTGTAAGTCCACTGGAGATCACTGTGTGTCTTGCAATCGGATTTAACCTCCACCAGGTCGTTGATTGTCCATTCGGTGACGTTCAGGATCGGAACGCTAGCACTCCAGTCCCAGATCTTCTCAGCCCAGTCGGAGTAGGTCTGGTTTTTGGTATATCTAGCCAGACGGGCGGAGAGCTGGAACAGTCCGCCGTTACTCATAGCATTCTTGATGTTGTATCCATTCTGATACGGGAAGATTTGCCAGCGCAAGCCGCCATCGCAACTCTTAGTATCCCATCGTGCAATCTGGGACTGAAACACGCCCTCGGCTAGAGTCAACCACGAGGGCATCGATGAATCTTCGGTGTATTTCAGTTCGGCAGCGGTCATAGCAGCGAGACCCCAAGCTACTTGGTCGTCGTTACCCATATATTGGCTGTAGTTGGAAGGGAAGTAGTCGTTGTTCCCACGCTGCCAATACATGCCTTGACTCACAGCCTTGTTGTTGGAGGCGTCACCGGTAAAATACCAATATTCGATCATTGTCTGGAACAAGGCAGCGCCCTGCGACCATGTATCAAGTTTGCCAGGAATATGTCCTGTGAGGTTGGAGGTATAGGTTGACATGGTGTTGAAGGCTGCAGTCGCCGCCGCATTCTTGATAGATTCTACTTGGCTGTCAGTAATTATTTCAACCCATCGATGTATTAATAGAATAGCCTACGCTCATCATTGACCTTAAAATCGATTGCCACAGCAGAGCCTGCCAGGAGGGCAACGGCAAATGCCGAGAAATTGAACATAGTGCGATCACAAAGAAGTAAACCTGAAATGAAAAGGGAAAATGGACCTTATATTTTCATTTGAATATTCCCATCGAAGCTCGGGGCTGAGCCCCCTTCCAGGGGAAATCAGCACTAGCCCCTTTTAGGGCTCGTAACATGTATATCCGTACGTAACAAAAATTAATACCTCAATATCATTTGGTGGGAAAATGATCTGATCCCGTTTGGTCTGTTTTGTGTACTCCGTATACACGTATGAATCGAGCTAAGAGCCGCACGAGTCTAATTTTTAATATGCAAATCTTGGATTTTAGGTAATATGCATACACTTCAACATCCTTTAGACATATATATCTCGACATCACTATTTCCATAGACATCTTATGAAATTGATCTAGCCTATATATAGTAGGTAAAGATTAAGTCGAAATAAAACTGTCTAGGAAAGCTCTTGGAAAGACTTCGCAGTATACACTTCTAGTACGAGTTTCCGATTTTCTACTTTCAAAAAATAATTAAAACCTTAGCAAATTACACTAAGTTTGATATCAATTTACCTTCCAAGCTTGCTATAATTGTATTCTGTGATCGAATTATATATGTCTAAAGGTTACCGATTTTAAAGTACCTCTTGTATGTATATCCCCTAGAAGGGTACCTGAAATCAAATACATATTTGCTTTGGACTATTTTGTTTAGATCCGTGCGGCTCAAACCCCAGTATAGGTGGTTGATAGCCATTGGGCCGGATATATTGTAGGCGGCTGCAGCCGGCATATCACTACCTCTTATATACTAGATCTCCCACTTCCAACGGGAGGCCAGGATTAAAGGATAGCGCGGAGAAAGCTTATTTCACAGAAAATGACTGGAATAAAAGGGCACATTGCTTACAGATTCTCACATTTTTCTAGCACTACAGATCTAATAGTTCAACACCAGTCAGATAGCCATATATCCACAAATTGCAAATTGATCGGCTAAAGAGTGACTTCAATTAGACCCAAAAGGCGCGGCCACTGCCTGCATTTGCCACGCCTAATCTATGTAAAAAGTATAGACATCTACCAAATCGAAAAAATGATCCTATAGGTAGCAAATCAACAAAATGACACCCTATATCATTTACTGGGTGTAGCTGCAGCCATTGGGCTTGGAAGTCTCAACAACACGAGCAGCAATACCGACACAGTCGGAGTTACCAGCAGGGTTGGAAACACCAGCAGAAGCCCAGATGCTCCAGGCACCGTCAATGCTGTTGGGGCAGGCGATCAGATCGTTTCCTGCGAACTGGAGGTGACCATCCTTCTGGGTCCAGCCCTTGCGCTCAGCGTTCTTGGGAGCGGGCTGAGCACCGGTGGTGTATCCGATCTTGCCCTGGCCTATATATGAATTAGTCGTCTGCGAACTCAATTGGATTGTGAGGAGTGGTAACGTACCCATGCCGGAACGGTCGACGTAGATCTGCTGGGGAGTGGCGGACTGGTCGTAGAGGTACAGACCACCGTCGAGGATGTAGAAGGTAGCCTGCTGCTCCTTGGGACGAGCGCAGCTGGCGCCCTGGTTAGGGAGACCGGCAAAGATGCTGCTCTGGGCGGCGTTGAAGGCGGAGTACTGGACCGCGCTGCCGGAGTGAATGGCGACGATGCCGAAGGTCTTGGATTGGGTAGAAGGAGCGGCTGAGGCGACGGCGCTGACGGAGGCAGCGATGGCGAGGTTCTTGAGCTGCATATTTGCGGATTGGGGATGAGAAGATTAGGCTTGGGAAGTGTAAAGTGGTTGGATTGAGAGGATTGATAGTTGATTGTTTTGGAATTGACTGAGATGCTGAAATGGTTCCCCTCTTTATACTTGAGCGCCACTGCCGTCGCCGAGGTTGAATGTCTCACCTATCGAGGACTATATTAAACTACGGCGTAGATATCCCGCAAAATGACACCAGTATGACTATTTTATGGGGCAGTCTTGCCGATCCCTCCTCGTGGTTCAATCAATGTCTTATCCCTTATGGACTATGGGGTATGGTACCGTAGATCTAGCTTCATTTGTTGGAAATAAACAGTCCTTCATAAGTTACCATTGGCATTCAGAGCGCGGACATTTTGAAAACCTCAATTTTTAGCTTGAAGATCCTGAGCCAAGTACCTTGCAGACCCTGAAGGAATTCATGGCTCCCCACATTTTTTCATGTTTCTCCGATTTATACCCACGATATCCGAATCAAGGCCAATCGGGGTTCAATGCCTTTCTGCACCGGAGAAACACACATGTAATAATAGAGTGTTATGCAGGCCGGTTGTTTGACTCCTTTCGGGCATTTCACTGGCAAGTCACCTGATCTAAAAATAGCACTGAAGGAGTGGCTTACCGTTCCCACTAGCTTAGGGCGAAATCCTTTTGATTTCATTTCAGGGGGCAGGGCAGGTAGTTGACCTTCAAATATTACACTGTTCGAAAGAATCATATGGCTTATGAGTATTGAAGAAGAATATTATAATATATCTACATATTTCGCTTGCTCCATGATTCCATGAATCATGAAGATGCAACGCCTAGAAATGAATTTCCCATCTCGAACCAAACCAGGGTTGAGGGAAATTTCTGTACAAGCGCCAGCTTGAGCACGCTCATAACCCATATTGAGATACTCTAATAACAAAAAATTGATCGGTCTTACTCGGGAGCAGCACACGAGAAGACACCGCCAACTTCTCCATTGTCGTACTTGATCATCTATCGAGTGAGTTAGCAAGCAATTCCTGTCAAGAGTATGGCAAAACTTACAATGTCGTCAATGCTGGAATAGGTTCCTCCGACAAGCACCACCATACCGATCACGAAGATCAGAATGTTGGCGACTCCCTTCAACATATTATTGTTCTCTTTCCAAGTGCCTTTGCGAAGGAGCATGAACCACATCATGGCAGGGAAGTAGAAGGTGAAACCGGAGATGAACAGAGCCGAAGAGATTGAGAGCAAGTCATTGAAGAAAGGAATCACCTCAGCAATGATGAATGCCACAATTGTGGCGGCAGTGATCACAGCCAGCCACGTCAACCATCCCATCTTAGTGTTGATGAAGCGGATGGGGGAGTTCTTGAAGATGCGACCGTGAACCACACGTCCAAAGACAACGGTGTTGATCGAACCACTAATGAAGATCACAGGGAGAGCAACGCCGTACGCAATGCGGCTGAGGGTCGTTCCGGCAGAGGTGAGTGCAGGGCTGGACACATCCTGGCCAACAAAGGCGTAGATCAGAGCACCGGTAATGGTGTAGATGAAGATCTCGGTGATACCCAGCGTCCAGATGGACTTGATAAAGTCGCGAGGAGTGTGCATTTCGTCCATAAAGGAGAACTGGCACATGGCAAAGCTGTAAGCGAAAATGATGTTCGTCACAGCGATGAAAGCTTCGGTAAAGGTGATGTTATCCTTGGGCCACGCAGACCATGCGACTCCAGAGAGTCCACCAGGTGAGTTAGTCGCCTGCACACCGGTACCAATGATAGTGATTCCAATGGCAATGATGATGGATGCAAAATCAACATATCCAAGAATAGCCACCTCGGTGAAACTGGGCGGGATAGCGAGCAACAGCAGGATGATGGCGGAAACCACGGCGAAGATGATCGAGCAGATGCCGCTTTTGCTGATGTCGAGGAATGCAATGGTTCCCGTCAGACAGTGCGAAGCCGTGAGGAAGATTAGTTGGAGCCCGAGCATCGCATTGACTAGCTCATATCCAAAACGACCACACCCTAACCGATGACCCATCAAGCGACCCGCATCGGCATAATTGGCAACCTCGGGGAAGGCCAATTTCACCATTCCAACAATGTAACTAGTATAGATGGCGATAAGACCGATGCCGACACAGCAGATCACACCGGGGACCATGCCAAGTACCGCAAAAGTAGAAGGGATCGACAAACTGCCAAGTGCAATAGCTTCAACGATGAGGACGATAGTGAGTCGCTTCCAACCGAGACGGTTGAACTTCTTGATGCCATGGTCATAGACATTCCTCTCGGCCTCACTCATCTCCCCGACTATATCCCCCTCAAACGGCGGTGGAGGCGCATATGCGGCCTTTTCACCTTCTCCCATCACCTTGTCGGCCTCATGGTCGTTAGAGATATCTTCGAAGCCCATGATGGTGGTGGAAGGGAGGCTGGTCTGGCCGGGTTGGAGGGGAGGGAAACCGGGTATATAAGAAGACAAATTTCGCGCACTTCGAATGCGGCACTATCGGGGAGGCGAAGCAGGATTTCCATGACTAACGAGATTTTGTGAGCGTTACTTGGCTGGTCCAACACGTGGAGTACGACGCTGATCCACTTACGATTGATCGGCCATCCAACGAGGTCACCGGAAACAGGGTTGAGACCCATTGCAAATGTGTGGAAGTGGATATTAGAAAGGATGGATGCTGTAATTTTACGCGAAACGTACCGACCGACGCCCAGTTGCCCCGTTTGACCCAGTTTTATTCACCGTCGTATGATAAGAAGGTTCGGTACAGTTAGGTAAAAGAAATTCAGTATTGGTGTAGGCATAGTAAAGGGCCACTTCAGGACCACTTGAGTGCCACTACGCTTTGACAAAGGTCACCACTATAAACTATATCCCCGCGTTACTGATTGCGGGGAGATATAGAGGCAATTAGTATAGTATAGAATACTATAAAATAGAATAGGAATCATCAACGGGAGGGAATTATAGAGGTTTTCTTAATCACGCCACAGTAGATCCCGAGACCCGACTTGCCAATGAAAGACTCGGGGGTTGCCTGGGCGCCGACTCACCCGTCTGGGCGGCCGATAAGATTTTGGGCTTGGTCACGTGATGGCTGCAAACAGACCTCACCGGTAAATAAGGGGGTAATATCACATCACATTGTACATTGTCCTACCTCCTTACGGAAGACAGACCACAGGCTGTGGATATTCTCGTATACCATGCAAGCTAATCCTCCAGCATTTCTCTCTTTATTCACAGACCAAGATCCTCTTGGGGTATATGCCTAAGCCTCAACTGGAGAGCGCCACCAACGCCATTTGGAGTATGCGGGAAAATACCGCAAATATTGACTTCATGATTCGGGTTATCTTTAAACTCAAACGGGATAATGGGCTCCCCCAGAAGTAGTCATGGATATGTCGACATATCCTTTGTACGTAACTCCCCCAACTTTCAGTATGTCGGGTACTTCCAAGGTTGATGACCATTGCTTATATTGCTGTCTCCAGAGTTCCCCGCCTATCCCGTGAAACACCCGGATACCCGGAAGCTGCGGGTCATCTCGGTTATCCTCGAACTCGAAACACTCGGTTTTAATCCTGTTCTTGCCATGTGTTACATGGCATATTGCCACCGACGATCTTCTCGTCATATAGTTGTGCCTGCTACCTAACTCCACATTTCGCAATCTTTCAATTGCTTCATTCCCCGCAACCGCCTCGATGACTATGGGGTAAAGACCCGAGCAATATTCTGCCTAAATAAAAATGGGACGACTTCCCCAGGCGACTTTTCCTACAACAGCGGCTGTACCAGCTGTCTGATCATACATAGCAAGATATACACATGTGTTCACCATTGTCACAATCGTCAACGCATTCACTCTCGGGGTGCCGGGGATGGCTCTTTTGGCATAATATAATATGGTCAACAGACGGGAAATTGAGCCGCGGTGGATCTCACTGGCGATATTAATGAGTCTTCTAGCTCCGCTTTCAAATTTCTTTGCTTCCCCGCCCGATGGTGCGGTTCAGCTTTCTGTGGAATGTGTTCCGTTGCAAATGGCGAAGCATACCCTTCCCCTTGAAATACTATACGACAGGCTTCAAGCATTTATCTCTTCGCTTTATTCAATGCGTCGAACATTGAATTGACGGAAAAGTTCGCGAGTAATCCACAGGAAATACAGCGGTGCCTTTGACACTAGGAATGGCCCGTCATGTCCAAGGGCATCGAGGCTCCACCGGGATAGTGGTCGCCTCCGGAGTCGCAGAACTCCTGAATTCATGACAATAAACAAATGTCCAATTGGCTTACACAAATAAGGATTTCAGGATAGGCATCTACACTCTCGTGTTTCTTTATTATATGCATACACAATTCTCTAACGCGCCTCGCCTATCACTCTTGCTTCAAGCAGTCAGTAATTGACTGCCCAACGTAATCGACATTCTGTTTGTTGAGCCCAGCAATTGATATGCGAGAGTTGTCCGCCATGTAGATGTGATATTTCTCTGGGGTCGCCAAATGTCAGTATGTCACTAAAAGATTAATTCGAAAGCCAGGACGAACCGCGAAGCTTTAGCACAACGCTTGGGGACAGTCCCAGGAATCCAAACATTCCAGATTGGCGGATCAAGTGCTCCCAAGTTCCCGGTGCGCCTAGTCCTGTTAACAAAAAGCCTTAGATCGCCTACTTTGGACAGCCGATGCTTACCGGAGGCCACCAAACTATCATATAATTCCGTCCTCATCGAGCGAATTCGGCCGCTCATGGTGATCAGATCATCATGCCAAGCCTCCCGAAGGGTAGCATCGGCTAATATGGTACTCGCAATTTTCGCACCGTAGGCCGGGGGATTCGAAACTTCAGAACGTTGAAGCATCTCAAGCATTGATTGGGTCTTTACGGCCGCTTCTTCGGTGCTGGTTGCCAGTAAAAAGCAGCCGACTCGTTCCCCTATCAAATGTTATTAACTGTTATTCAGATCATGAACTGACCGTGCAGGTAGATACCATAGAGACCCATATTCTTCGCAAAAGACAGACACACTCCAGCTTCCAGATTCATCTCCTCGATAAACAATCTAATGGCAAAGGCATCGTTATCAACATTGCCAGAGTTGAACCCTAAATAAGCGGCGTCAAAAAGTGGGAACAACTGCCTCTCTTTAAAGAGACGCGCAAGTTCTCGCCATTGCTCTTTGCTCGGATCACATCCTGTTGGGTTGTGAGCACATGCATGGATGACGAACACAGAATTGGGCTCGGCCGATTTCAATGCCGAATAATACGATTCAATATCCAAATCTTTTGTCTCTGGGTTGTAGTATCTGAAAGATTCACATTGGAATCCAAGGGACGAAAACACCTGATAGTGGTTTGACCATGTCGGCTCAGGAATGTATACTTTAGGAAGAGGCGTCTTGCAAGCTCTTAGCAACAATCCAGCCAAGTGCAATGCTCCAGTACCGGAGAGACTTTGGCAGGTCGCCAGCTATTTATACAATAATCAGCTTTGGTCTATTCAATGCTGTAACAACAGAGTTGGAGCTGCCAGTACTTTGTCCTGTTGCTTTTGGAATAGCTCTGGGCTTAGTGCTAACTTTGCCGCCTCTTTGCGGAAATCCGCCAGACCGACAATAGGGAGATATTCGTGATTCAACTCTTGTGCCAGCAACTTCCGACTCTCGCGGACCGAGGGAAGAACCCACGGGTTCCCATGCTCGTCACGGTACGTCCCCTGACCCAGGTTGACTTTCTTGGGAGAGGGATCTGCTACATACTGAGCAGTCAATGCAAAAATTGCATCGGGTGGGATGAAACGAGCTTGGTCAAACCAGGAATGGGTAGTAACGTTCCGAGTGGTTTCAGAGGCCATTGTGTAAAATCGGTTCAATTTAGGAGTACGACGGAGAGACTGCATGGTCAATCTGGGCTCTTATTTAGTATTAAAGGAAGCTGTATGTCGACAAGAGTCATACTTGACGTGATATCATACTCGGGTTCCAGGCCGAGTCAACCAAATAACCCCCTCCACATTCACCCACTTAAGGAAATATATATTGGTCGGAGATAGGACCGGTTAAACAAACTAGATAAAAAGACTTCTAATTCGTTGATCGGGTGGAGGACCCGAAAGTGGACTCATTTAGATTGGTGATCTGTGTACGAGATTGGCTTCGTCGGCGCCGGCATCCGACATTGGCAGTTTGAACGTCAAAACAGCGGCCAAATAGCTTGAATGAATCGGAGATATGACCGCCTGCCCCTCATTTTGACCCGAGAGGGGAATATCCCATCAGATATGGATATCTTATAAGAGTTGTACTGGTACTACTAAGACCACTGACACTTGTACAGACTCAACCACCCAGTACGTACTTTCGATACATACTTCCACCTCTACAATGGGTTCTCTCGCCGTTTCTCCTCAGCCTCATGTCCCTGTATCAGGAGTCTGGTGCCCCGCAGTCACCTTTTTCCACCATGACACCGACACACTAGACCTCGACTCTCAATCCAAGTATTTTGCCTACCTATCCACAACCGGACTAGCAGGTCTAGTGATCCTAGGCACAAACTCAGAGGCCTTTCTCCTCACTCGCGAAGAGCGATCCCAGCTCATCTCAACTGCCCGCGCCGCCGTTGGACCCGATTTCCCACTGATGGCCGGTGTCGGTGCACACTCAACCAAGCAAACCCTCGAGCTCGCACAAGATGCCGCCGACGCCGGCGCCAACTACCTCCTCGTCCTCCCACCCGCCTACTTCGGCAAAGCCACCAACATGAACGTGGTGAAGCGCTTCTTCTCCGAAGTCGCCGCCAAGGCCCCTCTCCCAGTCGTGATATACAATTTCCCCGGTGTGTGCAACGGGGTAGATATGGACTCCGATACTATTACAGCGATCGCACGCGAGTCCACGGCTAGCGGACGACCCAACGTGGTAGGAGTCAAATTGACCTGTGGATCTGTGGGGAAGATCACCCGGCTGGCTGCAGCATTTGCGCCCGAGGAGTTTGCGACTTTTGGTGGACAGTCTGATTTCTTGATTGGTGGGTTGGCTGCAGGTAGCGTCGGGTGTATTGCTGCTTTCGCGAATGTCTTTCCTAAAGTGACGGCAAGGATCTATGCTTTGTATCAGAAGGGTCAGATTGAGGAGGCCGTGGCGCTACAAAGGAAGGCGGCGCTAGCGGAAAGTGCCATTAAAAGTGGTATTGCGTCCACTAAGCATGCGGTAGCTTGCTATTCTGCTAAGCTGGCAGGGATCCAGGATGCAGCGGGTAACTTGGCCCCTCGACACCCTTATGAGGAGGTGGGAGAGGGGGCTAAAGTTGCGGTTCGCGAGGTGATGGCTGAGGTTTCTGAGATTGAAAAGAGTCTGTAATGAGCTAGACTTGTATCAATGAAG